TGTTTATATTGTAGTGGTTGTAGGGTGTTAGCGGCCGTCGTGAGTACCCTTCGGGAACGGACACGACAATTTACTTTTTTTTTGTAGTGGTCAAAAATTCAATTTTTTTAAATGTTGAATCACAAAATTTAATCACTTCATGTCTACCAGTACTTGGCAGTAGGAATGATGAAATCAATCACCTAACACTAACACTACTGCCAGTCCTAACACTACTTCTAGTACTGGCAGTAGTGCATTGGTCCTTCAGCGATGTTTTGCACCAGGGTCAATCTCCATTGCTGTTGAAGCCAAAGGAAGTTTACGAAATCACTTAGTGTGGAAGTTAAAAAAATAGCTTTTTTCCAAACTTAGGTTGGATTTGACGAACTTGTTGAAGCATCCTCGTACTTCTGAAATACATTCAGATCTACCTTGTTACCTGATGATTGCACACGCATGAAACTCAGAGTAGCGACAAACTACTACTAGTACTAGTAGCCTTGCTTGCGGCCCTTGTTATTCTGTGCACTTCACTTTTCAGTCAGTTCAGATCAATAAAATACCGGTTGGTTGTGCTTGGACAAGGCCGAATGCTGGTCCTGTCGTGGACATGGAAATCCAGTCCAATGACCGCCTCAGTGCGAACAGAACGTTGCATTACACCCCGTACCGTGAACATCATGTTGATCCCAAGCGCGCTACCAGCGCGCTGCAGCTCCTAATCACGGCTGCATGGCCAGCGCCCTGGGCCGCTAGACGTGCGACCGGATTTCCATGTCCACGACAGAAGTACAGTCTGTATCGGCTATAGCGTACCCTTTTGATTTCCGTGATTTTATCACTATAACCGATGCATCACTATATTATGCGATACGATCGATTTTTTTCTTTTTTCGATCGACACATGAAAGACAAGGAAATACTTCCAGCATGGCGATTTGACAAATGAGTATGCTGCATAGTTGACAGTGCCCGCATTTCCATAAAAAATTCTGTTATGTAAATCTGTCCCCGGGGAAAATTGCGGAAAAAAATCGCAAAAAACGCGGGGAAAAACGCGGCATAATATGGCATAATTTGCGGTGAATTTGCGGTAAATATGCGGTGAATAATATTGATGTGCGGCAATTTTCAGTGAGTATGTAGTGAAATCAATCAGTTACAACTTACAAGTCTCTGGTGTAAGCACTCGTCATAATTATTATTATTTGAGTAAAAAGCCGCCACGATGAGACGTTGCTGACCGAACAGTGCACTGTGTGTACGTGTAGTGCAACAAAAAAGTTCAAAACACGCGGGAAAATCGCGGAAAACGCGGTCTTTTAAAAAATCGCAAAAAAACGCGGGAAAAAACGCGGCCGCGGAATCGCAATTTTCCCCGGGGACAGGTAAATGTACATGTATCACTATAAAAATAAGAAACGTGAAGAAAGTAAAAAAATAGGGCCTTTGATATTATTGCTACATGTATTTTTATAGTTATCACTATAGCCGATAATAATATAGTGTGTTATGCATGTTTTGATTCTTTGTTGCCATCATAATATCCGATATATCATTACATCCGATAATATTGGTTATAGTGATATTCGTACTGGATAAAATACGTTTTGCTTTTGATATTTCGTACCAATATCACTGTAGCCGATATATTCTTATATCCGATCACTCTATAGCCGATACAGACTGTAACTTGGATTTGACTTGAAGCATCCTTGTACTTATGGTCGACGGAAAGAGATTTTTAAAACAATTTTGATACAACGGCAACAGCATCGACTTGATATTACCGGTATCCTCCTGGCAGATTGTAGCAGTGAAATCTCAGGTACTGAGCCCATACTGTGCCATCGCATGCCACTCCAAGTACACCTCTCCACTCAACACGCCAGGGAAAAGGAAAACTATTTTAGTATTTATTATTATTACTTGGAAAGATGAAGTACGCACTGTAGGATAGATGGCTATTAAAACCCAAAGGACACAGGCGTGGAATGCAGAAAACCTTGCATTCCGCTTTTCATGCTCTCATTGCCAGTGTACCATGCGTCCAAGGTGAACTGCAACAGGTACAGACATCTAATGATTTTAGAATCCCCAGTAAACTGTAGCACTTGCCTGAGACACAGACACCACCTGTGAACAGAGCAACTATAGACATTCTTCCCTGTGGTATGAGCGCCATTGGTGCATGGCTTGCAACAAGGAGGTCTTGGTCCAGTTCACAACACATCAAACATAGAACTGTGAGTGGAAGTAAAACATTGAGGCGGCTGCGCTCTGTCCACCAGAATACGGCGGCGGCTGACAAGGGAAACTACTATACTATAGTACACACACAAACTGGGACTCAATTACTAGTATACACCATGTACCATGTATACACGTATGTATACACCATGTACCATGTATACACCATGTACCATGTATACACCATGTACCATGTATACACCATGTATACACGTATGTATACACTTATGAGTTATGTATATGCACGCCAACATAGCTGTAAATTTAGCACAACTATTGCATTGACAGCATAGCGTACAATGATGCCCGGCTCCTGACCGTAGTTGTGCCTAATAAGGAAGCACTGATCACGATTCGAGCGCAGAAAAAGTAATGGTATTAAACAATGGAAGCAGCTACTTCGAAGTATGAGAAAGGAGATGCCATTATGGGCATATTGATAATTTAATGTCAGCTGCCCACAACAGGAATATCCATGGAAGTGTACTCTACACATGTTGCACACACGACAGTACATGTAGTAGTACTTCAGTCTCTCCGTAATGTTGACTATGATTGTGTTGGTGATGTAGGCATTGTTGACAATGATACAAGAAATGTTGTTGACAATGCTACAAGAAATGTTGTTGACAATGATACAAGAAATGTTGTTGACAATGCTACAAGAAATGTTGTTGACAATGATACAAGAAATGTTGTTGACAATGATACAAGAAATGTTGTTGACAATGTTACAAGAAATGTTGTTGACAATGATACAAGACATGTTGGTGACAATGATACAAGAATGTATAGTACACCTGGTATATGTGTAGTTTGCCAGACCATGATTCGGTACATCACCAACCGACCACTGGCCAGGATGCTGAGTACAAAATCAATCTGTCGGTGCAGTTTAGATTGCCTAGAGCAGCACTATGCAGAGGGGTGCATTGCTATCACTCACTATGGCCACATCAGCAAGGTGGTGACATCAGCAAGGTGGCCACATCAGCAAGGTGGCCACATAAGCAAGGTGGTGACATCAGCAAGGTGGCCACATCACCCAAGGTGGCCACATCAGCAAGGTGGTCACACCAGCAAGGTGGCCACAGCAGTAAGACGTAATAATATAGAGCAAGATATATGGCTATGTAACAAAGTCTATGTATAATGTTTCCCATATGTTCACATCACTGCCACACACGCACAAACAAAACTACACCTAAGGAAAACACAGACATAATACTAGTATTACTTTAGAACTCTGAACACCCCTAAAACCACACCAATACAATATGTTTAAACCACTAAAACCACATCAATATCAATATGTTTGAACCACTAACACCACAGCAATATCAATATGTTTGAACCACTAACACCACAGCAATATCAATATGTTTGCACACATTGATAATGGTGTAAAACTACTCGCATAACTAAGCATTGGAGTTGTAGTGGTCCCTGTGCACTGCCAAAATACACCCTCACTTCACCATGCCGGTAACCTTGTCACATGAGAGATACCTTATTTAGAACAGTTGCCTGTGGCTGTGGCGTCGTCAATGATAGTCTTCCAGTCCAGCAAGACCTGCCGGATGTGCTGAGCAAAGCGATTGGCATTGGTCTTCTCCACACTTCTCTTTGTGCTGCCAACATGGAAATGTAGACGACCCTGCCCAACTACCTGGTAGCTAACTCCATAGCCATCATCAGCTACAGCCATGAATCCACCGGCAAGTGGAATCTGAAAGCAGGAGCAGCACAAACAGCACCAGCAACAATGCACAATTGCACACACACACACACACACACACACACACACACACACACACACACACACACACACACACACACACACACAAAGCGCACACAAATGCACACACACGCACACGCACACACACACACACACACACACACACACACACACAAACGCACACACAAACGCACTGAATTTGACAGCTTCCAGACTATGCGCTGCTGCTCTACACATACACACAGGCCTGATATGAAAGGAATGCAAAAGGCAGAAAAACAGCTAGAGAGACAGTACGCATCTGATAGAAACTGGTTGTTCTCACACATGAGAACGCAAACTACAATAAGAGAGGAAAAGAAAAGGAGACAAAAAAGAACAAGAATACACCGGTTGTAAAAAAAAAAGAAGAAGAAAACACATGGGACTGACGAGTTATGAAGCAACTATCCACGACTGTTACAAGATAATAAGCAGTCAGAAGGTGCATAATGTTCATACCGTTCATAACTCATTCCCATGTATTTTCTTCTTCTATTTTAAATTTAATACTGGCGCATTATCCGAGTTTAATACTCCAATTGTACAATGTATGCACTATGCAGCACACAGCACGCTTCAACAAGCAAGGCAGTGAGGTCACATGGTGTCTGGAATCTACAGGGAACATTTTTACACCAAGGGGTAGGCAGCTCACCATTGCTCTCAGCCGTTATTAATTTCAATGGTCGAGATTTGGGAGAGGGCAGGTGTCATTTAAGGTACAGTGCGGATCGGCTATAGGGTTGTCGGCTATAGTAATATACCTCTTATAGTGATCGTATTCTCAAATTCATTTTCGTAAACCACCCCTTTCTATACAAATCGGATCGGCTATAGTAATATATCGGCTATAATGATACGATTTCTTTGTCAAAATGATTTTATTGCATACATTTTTCATCGGCTATAGTGATGATCATAAAAAATTATACATCGTACATGGCCAGATCTGATCGCGGCAGTCAGGAAGCGCTGGTACGACTATGATATCCCTCGGAGGAAATTCGAAATGTTTGGCGTTGGCTGTGCTTGTTGTTCCGGGGCATCCTCGAGCGAGAGCGGAGGCAGTAATGAGTACCAGCGCTGAAGCGCTACCGTGGTCTTCGCCGAGATATTGGAGAAGGCATTCAGGTAACAGCGAAGACGATCAGGGACGCGGAGAAGCTTCTCCGTGACATACGACATCACGCGTCGAACGACCTGTCACTTGGAACTGTTTCAGGGGTGATGAGTCGAACGATGGCGACCAAGACTGAGACTCTACTCCCACTAATCGACCCTGTAGATATTGTTGATATGTCGTTTGAATGTGTTGACGTGTTTCTCTTCCAAAAAAAGAACACATTAATTTTGTTGAGCATAGCCTTGAAAACTCATGTCAAAAAGTCACGAAGTTTTTGTTTCCGCACGAAGTAGCTCTGCACTGCGCGTACTGCACAGTCACATGCAGTGATGCACAGCACGCTTCTGCACGCTGCACTGGTTCGAATGACACCATACACGCATGTGTCAGGCATACCTAAGTATGCAGATCGCCTGTAGTAATATATCGCCTATAGTGATATTTTCACGAAAATCAAACACCAACGCTATAGCCGATCCGTACTGTACTGGCAGTTTCACTACAACAACCGGACTTGCAATACAGGGACCACAGACCACAGACCACAGACCACAGACCACAGACCGCAGACCGCATCACAGACAGTGCATATGCTAGTGCCTCGCACTGTCTGTGATGCAATCTACGGTCAACTACTAGCAACAGTACATAGCCAACTGGGAATCGACAGTTCTCAAGATCGATAAAGTTGATTGGACACCGCTCCAAAACGATAATCATGTGTAACACAAGTTTGGATCGTTATTTCCGCACGTTGTCACAGATGGTTCTTGTCTGGTAGAGTGCAATGTCGTATGATGTCATAATATGCCGTATGATGTCATAATATGTTGTATGATGTCATAATATGGTCTAGTGTACACATGAGTATGGTGTGATGTGTGATGTGTACGGTATGCGCTTCATGCAAGAGTACACGTCATCAGAGAGTGTGATAATCTGCCAGTTCAAGTTACCGGAATTAGTTTCCACACAAAACCATACCCTCAAAAGAATAATCCAGTTCTACATGATACAGAGTAACATCTCAGTCAAACTAGTGAGAACTATTGAAAACCCCATGAAAACTAGTGAAAACCAGTCAAAACTAGTGAAAACCAGTGAGATTCAGTGAGAACTATTGAAAACCAGTGAAAAACCAGTGAAAACTAGGGAAAACCAGTGCAAACCCATTGTAGCATAAAGTAAGCAGTAAGCAGTAAAACCAGTGAGGAGGACTGAGAAGGAGTAAGAAGGACTGAGAAGGAGGGAGAAGGGCTGAGAAGAAATGAGACGATTGCATAAGCTGCTACGGTGGTGAAGAACCCAAACAATGTAGAGGGACATTCAACTACAAACATTACCTGTCCTTGTGTTACAGGATCATCCAAGTCAAAGCTATTCCCAGACATCTGCGACATGGGCTGTTGACTTGTTGACAACGTCCATGGATAACTGAGCATTTTCTTGAGGAACTCGCTCTCCTAATACATCACATGGCGAAAAATTTGCAAAGTGTTGACGACGACAACAACGACGACGATGACAGCAACAAAAATAGAAGCAGCAGCAGCACCACCACCACCACCACCGACAACGACAACAACAACAACAACAACAACAACAACAACAACAACAACAACAACAACAACAACAACAACAACAACAACAACAACAACAGCAGCAGCAGCAGCAGCAGCAGCAGCAGCAGAAGCAGCAGCAGCAGCGGCAGCAGCGGCAGCAGCAGCAGCAGCAGCAACAGGAGCAGCAGCAGCAACAACAACAACAACAACATCTTTGAGCCACACAAGTTGTGTGGAATGTTGCTTTGCGTCCTGGAATCGTGGTTTGACCGTATAGTCGAATGGTCTTGCCAGTATGGTCATCGAAATGCATGGACATCCGCCAACATCCTTCACAACTGAGATGTTCAGCTCGTGCTTGTCTTGGTTGCGCTCACCTCCCCCCTCCTATGTTATCCTATAACTTAGAACCTTCCAAGTTGGAAGGCGGTTGGAGTGCGCATCCAAGATGTGCTAGAGCTGTTAGCCAGTTAGTTAGTAGAATGTCAGTACCGTCAGTCAGTGTCGTGCAATGTTATCGCATGAGCTGATTGTTTAGTATTAAACTGGTGGTGTTATTGGATATTATAGCATAACTTGTAGTTCCTTGGTCCTTTTTCTTTTCTATAAATTTATCCTTGGCTCTCCATCCGAGTCCATTCAAACAACAGCAGGGATAACACTACAGCCCCCCCCCCCCCCCCCCACAGCTTCTCACCTTCTCATACACTTAGCGATATTCATGTAGTACTGTATGCCACCGGTATACAGCAGTCCTCACAACTAACCTGGCTAAGTACTTATATAACTACCCTGGCCAAGTGCTTATATTACTAACCTAGCCAAGTCCCTATTACTAACCTGGCCAAGTCCTAATATGACTAACCTGGCCAAGTCATAATATGACTAACCTGTCCAAGTCCTTTGCAGACAACATAGAGTGCGAACAGATGACGATCAACGCCATTGCCAGCCATTGCATTGCGACTCATTTTCTACACACCATGCACACACGCATACACACACACACACACACACACACACACACATACACACACGCGCGCGCGCAGCACGCACGAATACAGGTACACGTGCACAGAAGCAGAAGAAGAAGAAGCAGGATCAGACACCAACCAGAAGCAGAAAATCGTGATTCCAAAATCTTCCCATTGTCTGTTTCAAGTAGGGGTGAAAGTTGGCACTGAGATCCCGAGTTCGAGTACTCTGATTTTCTCCGATCGAATATTCGAGTACCGTCCTCACGCGATTAGAGCCCTCTCTTGAACAGTGCCCTATCTCGAATAGTGCCCTAGTCTCCAAGAGCCAGTGAAAAATAAAGCCCTCTCTTGAATAGTCCCCCCCCCCCCCCCCCCAGTCTTGTAACCAAGCCCATGTGCAAGTTTGGTGCTCTTTTGCTAATGTTCTTGACCATTGCTTTGTACTGGTGTTTTCAGGAACAAAATCGCAGGTCATGTTCCCGTTTCTGTGGAGTCGTGAGCGTTTACAGTACACTTTAGGCTCTGTTTTTCTTTGTTTTATGCTGGATGACGCAAACGTACCAGCAATGAAAAAATAGTGCCCTCTCTTGAATACTGCCCCATCTGTGATGGACATTGAAAAAATAGTGCCCCAGGGGCACTAATTGACTAATTGCGCGAGTACGGTATTCGAGTATTCTTCATCTCCTAAAAATTGCACACCAAGGACCTTAAAATCACATGTTATCACCCACACGCACATCAAGCAAGTGGAAGTTGGGGTTGCCGAGCTGCTGCGGCTGGATCATATCAAGTGATTTGTACCAGAATTTGTAATCTGCGAATTGTTTGCAACAATGCATTTATATCCAGCGGCCCCGCATAGCGGGATTGTAGAAAATTCTGTTACAATGCTGGTAGATGGCAGGCAGTGCAAGAGATTATTAAGGCCAATGATCCTAACTAATGCTGCTGTGCCCTTGTGGGGCACGGCTGTGCGCAGGTAGTCAAATGACTGCTGGGACCGGACGGTCCTGCTGTATGCTGGACACAATGTGTCTATGCTGGGACCATGTGGTCCTGCTGCTGGGCAACGCGTGCCGCCAGTGCTTGAAAGCTCATGCAGAGAATTGTTCCAAAATGCATTCAGCTGAGGGGCTTTGCTTGCTCCCCCCCCCCCCCCCCTTTCTGGAGGCGCTAGAAGTTAGAAGTGGGTTGTGGTGGGCGGGAGAAAATTCGCACAACACTGCTGATATTGCAAGCCAAGGTGCTCAAACAAATTTGTTTGCATAGAAAGGTCTCGCTGCTGTTCGTTGCCAGCAAGGCTGCGAGTCCCACGCTTGCGCATGTGCCCTTTTCCCACGCTTGGGGACGATGTACGATGACAGCCGGCGTTGCGGACTGCCTGCGAGGCGCTGGCCGCGAGTGCTTCTGTGGCATGATAACTTTGGTTTGCCCGTTGCAAACCTACATATACAACCCTGATTGAAACGAGTGGCAGTCATTTTTCTCGGGTATATTGGTTGGTGGGTCATTTGGGCTCTCTCTACTCGTGAACAAATGTTCACCACACAGTCTGCACATCAATATCTGCCGACTGCTGCTCTTAAACTGCAGATTTCTGTGGTAAAAATGCATAATACCATGTATGAACGAGTACTCTGATTTATTCGGAGTACGATTATTTTTGAAAAAACCGAGCGAGTACTCGAGTATTCGGTATTATTGTTTCATCCATAGTTTCAAGTAAGGCACAGGCACTACTACCTGGTTCCAGTTGTTCACACCACCTGTTTCTGTGGAACTTGTTCTTTTAGACTTTCACACACTGATTTCCAGCCCCCGGTCCAACGGCTTCCGATCCCACTGGTCCCTGGTCCACTAGCTCCCTCCCTATCCCACTGGTCCTCTTGTCCCCGATCCCACTAATCCACTGGCTCCCTCCCTATCTCACTGGTTCCTGATCCCACTGGTCCACTGGTTCACTGGTCCATGATCCCACTGGCTCCTGATCCCACTAGTCCCTGGTCCCTGGTTCACTGGTTCCTGATCCCACTGGTCCACTGGTCCACTGGTCCACTGGTTCACTGGTCCACTGGTCCACTGGTACCATCGACACCCAGTGCTGCAAATTTCTGTTCTTGCCCTGATCTCAATGGTTTTGGTGCACATCGACCCAGTAACATATGTACACCAGGATACACACACACACAAACACACACACGCGCGCGCACTTGTGTGCATTCATACGACTTCAAACGGTCATAACAGGCCGTACCTGGTGAGCCTCACATGCTTGCATCAGTAGCCTGTGTTTGTCCTTAGCAGCTAGCTTCTCTGATGACATAGATCTGTGTAAGCATTCCAACACAGTAGGCATAGGAACCATGATCAAAACAGTAAACAATAGTGACAATACACAAGATTGTTATAGTGTGTATCAACCGGCAACATGCCGTTTTCACTGACCATTGATAAAGGAGGGGGAATACCCTTGATCAAGGAGGGGGAATACCCTTGATCAAGGAGGGGGATTACCCTTGATCAAGGAGGAGGAATACCCTTGATAAAGGAGGGGGAATACCCTTGATAAAGGAGGAGGAATACCCTTTATAAAGGAGGGGAAATACCCTTGTGGCTCGATTCTCTATAAATAGGTCGGTTTCGTTGCGCAGTAGTGCATGTAAAGAGCGTGTATGTGTGTGTGTGTGTGTTCATTCCCCTTCAGCCAGCAGTATCTCCGTAGTTAGCTTACCGGACAGCTTGGCAAGATTGCTCCGTGACAGTGCGTATCGTCTCAGTTCTGCCGTTGCGGAATAACCGTGTCATTGCTGGCTCATAGGTCAGTACAAACTCTCCAGCATCTCGGTAGTATGCAGCCTGTAGAACCATCTGCAAATAGCTGTCTGGACTGCACTGTATACGACGCACACATATACACACATACACACACACATATACACGCATACACACACATACATATACACGCATACACACACATACACGTATACACATATACACGTATACACAAACACATATACACAAACATGAACATACACACACCAACAGAACGGAAACCACGAGGGCAAGAGACACTAATAGATTACATTCATGCCGGACTATACGAACTAGTATAGTTTCTAAATATTTGTCTTCTTGTGAAATAGTGCCTTTGCTGTTTGCGTTATGCAGAGCTCACTGACTTGCCAGTTTGAGCACTCTGGCAAGGTACATTCGGGCCTGGTTCAAATCTGGCTTTGGAATTTGTATTTGCATTGCTATCAGGTTCGGCCTCATTTTCTCTGTGCTGCGCTGATGAGTCCACAAAGGACGAAACAGTTCTGTCCGCAAATTGAGTAGGTTCTTATAATACATAACACAGGACAATACATGACAAACTACACATCCCAGTGAGTCATGATATAATGCACACATATGTCCATACACGATGAAAACACATCAACGGTGCATGGCACATGGTGGTTGCAATGTCTTGAAGGTTGGTGCAGCAGCTGCACACTGACAACTGGCAACTGGCAACTTGCAGAATTTGAAGAGCAGTTGCACATCAACCACATCAAAGCCGGGTTGGAGAAGTAGTTGCTACATAACCGCAATAGTTAGCCACATTTTCGCTACTGTTTGATACGTTATGTGTGCTGAATGTACAGCGCTGTGTTTGGTGAGGTTGAGGGGCGGGTGGGAGGGAGAGGAAGCAGGGTTGAGAAAGGGCAAAGTTGGAAGGGAGAGGGGTATGATCATTTATAAGTAAGCCATGGTACCTTAGCAGTGCGGGTGATGAACTTTTTGCCGTAATCATTGAAGACGAACAAGTTGAACATGCTTTCATCTTTGGCCTGGACATCAACCAAGACAACAGCCCAGCACACACACACACACACAGCAGCACAATGAATAAAACTGGACGCTTTGAAAATGAATACTGCTCCAATTCAAGCATTATTGTCCCGGTGGAAGTATAAAAAAAAAAATTTCACGGTTCGCGTGAGACTCGGCTGGAAGCCGAGTTTTCCGCATCCGCCGTGGGAACGCCACCACCCTCTAGGATCAAAGGCGCAGATGCAGCGCCTAAACGGTGGGAGGTGAGTAGATCAGACCCACCACCAAGTGGTCAAAGACCGAAATCCCATTAGCTGCATCCATGTTACCCTCGTGCCAGGCCACGAGTTCCCAATTAACTGTGGGTCGCAGCACGGCTGGAAAAATTCCTTCCGCTTCCAAGCAGGACTTGAACCTGGTACCGGTGGAAGTATGCAAGTTATCAAAGTAACACAATTCTGGCTGCACATATACTGGCACACACACACAGACATAGACAGCAATAACGACACCACACAAAGTGAAGGGAAGTTGGCCGCAGCCGCTCGCTGCCCTTGGCTGGCGAGAAACACGTTTTTTTTCATCCTGATGTAGGCCATAGAGAATCCTCCAGGCATACATTGATGTAGAGAAAATCACAAACAGAATGCGTGCGTCACACAATGGTAATGACGTTGGTTAGTCTAAACAACTTGAGCAAAACGCTTGCACTCAAACAAACAATTTCATCACACTCACATTGGCAAGGAATGACAAGCTGTCACCGATAACTCTCTCAATGGCGGGAGTAAGCTGCCACAACAACTGTCTGGGTTTGTGTAGCTGGTCTCTGCGTTTTGGCCAGGTAATGTGGTCACTCGGCCATCGCTCAGCACAATCTCCATTCGGTTTGTACATTGCAGTGAAGTACCTAAAGCAATGCAGTAACAGACATGCAGTGAAGTACATTTGCAATGAAGTACCTAAAGCAATGCAGTAACAGACATGCAGTGTACATAGCATTGAGACAATAACAGACATGCAGTGAAGTACATAGCATTGAGACAATAACAGGCATCGTTTGCACATTGCAGTGAAGTACCTTTTAGATAATAACAGGCATCATTTGCACATTTGCAATGAAGTACAGGGATCAATGTACTGTCATATTTTCGCATAGCAGTTTCTGCTATACGAAATCACAATTGTGTAGCAGTCTTTGATTTTGATTGGGATTTTTCTTTGAAGGTTGGGTGTTTACCACATTGTCATTCTTGAGAGCGATGCCTGAAAACCCATTTGCAGAAAACAACTGAAGCATACATGTGCACGCAGATTTTAACCGGCTGCACCACACACACTGCACAGTATGCATGTGACTTGACAGCACAGGCTAGGCATGGATAGCCTGTATTGATAGCACAGGCTAGGCATGGATAGCCTGTATTGATAGCGCAGGCTATGCATGGATAGCCTGTATGTATCGCAATTTTCTGCGAGTCACGGTGACTTTTGAGTAGCAGTAGATCGATTTGCGATGCGATACAGGATAAATTCATCCCTGAAGTACCTTTAAAAGAACATACATGGTTTGTACATTGCAGTGCTAAAGACAGTACAAGTAACAGACATACTGTGTTCACCTTGCAATGCTTACACAGTGTGCTCGAACAATGTTCACTGTTCACTGCCCATGAGAAAGCGCAAGCATCACACCACTACACCAAATGCAACCTGAATGGCAGCGCATCATCACTACACAACATTTGCCCATACTGGCCAACCCTCCCAGTTTTCCCACTACTCCCAGGTCCCGGGGATTTCAAGCAAACTTCCGGAAAAGTCACAGTTTTGTCTGATACAGGATTGCTCCATGGATTCTCCTCGAATGTCCCGGTTTTTTCAAAAATATGTACGGTGCCCACTCAAACTTCAAACTGTGCATGGCACTTTCAAGATCTTAACAGCCTAGGCTGCAAGATCTGCACTGACAGGCGGGCGCCGACTGATCGAACTCCACTGCAGGGTCGAACTGTGCTTTACGAGCACGCAGATCTGCAGAGTTGAACGTTTTATTTGGCGGGAAAAGCTCTTTTTCACTTGTTTTTTGTGCCATCCAGGGATTTTGAGAGAAATCCAGGGATTCTGCATGTCTTGTCAAGGGATCCTTGGATCCAAGGATGCAGTTTACAGGGTTATGGGCCGTTACACGCCCGATTGGTTGAGAGACTCACCTACTCTCCCCTGACTCACTTGTGAGGTCTGCATTTGCCACTAAGGTGTGCAAGGCATAGGCATAGTGGTGGCCTGCGGAAGCGAAGGCTAGTTTGTGCGTTTCTGAACATTCAAGCGATGCCAACGCGAATCCCGCGAATTATTATTATTATTATTATTGTCAAGGGATTGAGATTTTGGTGGTTGGTCAGTATGCGTGAAGCAGGAGATTGATTGCCTACTCTGGCTTCAGACAGCCAGGCATTGGTGTACTCTACACACACACACACACACACACACACACACACACCTTGAAACCTTGAAACTGCCACCTAAAGGTGATGCAGTGCCTCAAAGAGGCAAGGAGGGCAGAGTTTCTTCTTGCATTTGTGTTGAGCCAGGTACTGGAGACGTGTGAACTTCCGAGAGCAGGTCGGGCACGGGATGGTGCGGCGCTCGGAGCCAGAGCTGCATGTTCTGCGGTTGGAGTTGCAGTTGTGCCGGCGGTGCCCAGCTTTGCTCCGGAAACAGCGGTCACAGGTGTGGCAGTGGTAATGACATTGGCTGCAATCAGGTGGGCGAGGTGCAACAATCTCTGGAACTGGAGCGTCACCAAGACTGGGAGAGCAGCTGTGCACAGCAAATCCACCTCGGCTAGCAAACCAACGATGGCACGTTTCGCACAACACAGCACCGGCCTGTTCATGGATCGGCTTCAGTCGCTCTTCCCTGCATTTGTGCCGCCGAAGTCCGCTTTCACTGGCGAAGAGTCGCTCACAGATCGCACAACACACTGACTTGGCTGTCGTTTCAAGGCGTAAGCGCCGTGCAACAATAGCATCCGAGATGGACTGGATCCACTCGCCACGTTCAGCTGCGAGGTCGTACCAACCGGTGTATAGACCGAACGCCTTGAGGTCATCGCGTACCACATCACGCCATCGACGCCTGGGGCCATGAGCAGGGCGTGGAGTATGGAGCCACGAGAACAACACTGCCTTTGGAAGCCGGTGGTCGTCCATCCTGGCAATGTGGCCAAGCCACTGCAGCCGTCGACGGGCAACCATGTCAGCAACTGGCTCTGTAGCGCACATTCCATGCAGCGAGGCAGATGACAGGTGGTCCTCCCACTGTTTGGAACGCGAGATGCCGAGAATGACACGAACGCAGCGGTTGTGGAATTGTTCAAGGCGACGTATGTCGGCACGCAACAGTGTCCAGTTCTCAGCCCCGTACAACAGCACCGACAACACACAGCATGTGTACGTGTGTTGTTTCGTCTTGGATGTTAGTGAAGTGTTCCGAAAAACTGACGAGTAGAGGCTGCCAAAGGCCTTAGATGCAGCAGCTATGCGGTTGGACACATCGGTGTGGCATCGACCGTCTGGTGTTACCACTGAGCCGAGATATGTGAACTGGCTGACATGCTGGATGGCGTTGCCTTGTACGCTTAGCGGGGTACGGTCACTGTCGTTGATCTGATGCCCAACAGCCATGAACACTGTCTTTGCCATGTTGAGCACACACACACACACACACACACACACACACACACACACACACACACACACACACACACACACACACACACACACACACACACTTGTACTTGCTCACTGCCAAAACTGGTCACACACACACAGAAAGTTCCTTCTCATTTCCATCACCACCATCCTGCAAACTCTGAAGCTTGCCACGCCATCAGCCGTGTATTCCAGCTCTCTGGCAATGGCTAAAACAATCTCCATCGGAGTCATGATGACATCAGACTCGTGATTAGAGCCTTCTCCAGAATTCAGTGAAGGCTCAAGGGTTTCCTCGGCACCCTCCACAGTAGGGTAAATCAAAAGTCGAAGTTCAAGGTTCGCAATGTAAGATCAAGGTCAGGAAAGCCAAGCAAACATGAGAGCAACTTTATGAGTGGACTGTACGGATGCGCAGTGGCAACACGCCGTGACTACAAGTACTGGATATCGGTAGAACATAGATCACGGTAGATCTACCGGCATACATTTCCGCAGCTTTGACTGGGATGCTGTCGTCTGCGATGTCCCCGAACTTGCATGTGAACAACTCACAACTGTAATTCTGGATGGAATGGACACGTTTATACCATCTAAGACCCAGACAGTACGGACAACAGACCCTTGTTGGTGGACACCTGAGTGCAGCACTGTAGTTCAAGCAAAGACTCGTGCATGGAAACGGTGGCGTCAGCACCCCGATGATGGAGATTTGCGAGCTTCATTCATCGACCTAGTGACCCGAACAGCTGCTATTCTGCTGCGCGCCCAATCATCACATGATGCTCGTGTCAAAGCTAAGCTCAGCTCAGGCTCACTTAACGACAAGCAATGGTGGTCCAACATGAAGAGAGCTGCTGGGATGGAACGTGCCTCTGAGATACCTCTGCTGAAGGACACCGACGGCACAGAGTATCCAACTCGCCAAGCCAAGGCCAATTGCCTCGCCAGGTACTACTCCCAGAAGTGTAGCCTTGCAGATGATGACATCTCTCCAGACGATCTGCCAGAAATGCAGCATTTGGACCGCCATGGTCTTGACCGCATCCATTTCCGGCTTGCTGATGTACGCCGCCGTCTAGCCAAGCTGAATACATCGAAGGCAACAGGACCTGACAATATTCCAGCAAGAGTCCTAGCTCAGTGTTCCAGTGAGCTTGCAGAACCAGTCACCAAACTGTTCTCACTCTGCTTTCGCCACGGTGTTCAACCTACCAAATGGAAGCTGGCCCATGTGGTTCCAGTCTTCAAGAAGAGCCCCCGCTCGGATCCCAAGAATTACCGGCCAGTCTCACTACTATCCATCCTGTCAAAAGTAATGGAGAGCATAGTAAACAAGCAGCTCGTGAATTATCTGGAGCGTTTCAATATTCTGCCCGACAGTCAATATGGCTTTCGGCAAGGAAGAGGCACGTGCGACATCCTCACTGCTTTGCACACTGAGTGGGTCAAGACTGTCAGCGATGGAGGGTACGCTCACATGGTGGCGGTGGACATAGCAGGAGCATTTGATCGGGTATCACACTCTGGACTGATTTTCAAAGCCAAGAACGTTGGCATTGGTGGCTGCCTGCTGCACTGGCTGCAGGATTACCTCCTGAACCGCAAACTATCAGTCCTGGTCCACGGCGACTCATCCTCTCCGGCGCCCATAACAGCAGGTGTGCCCCAAGGTAGTATCCTTGGCCCGACACTTTTCCTCTTGTATGTGTCTGACCTGGATCAGTGCCTGTCTCCCGAGACGCGACTAAGTTCCTTTGCAGACGACACAACACTCTACAGCCTCATCCGCACGCAGGACAATATGCATGACATGACTGCCGCCTTGCAATCCAGCCTCAAGCGTCTTGAAGAGTGGGGAGAACGCTGGCGCATCAGATTCGAGCCCTCTAAATCGCAACAGCTGCTGATGACTACGAAAGCCACACACCCTGCTGTCCCTGACATCAAGTTTGGAGGTATCGCGGTTCCGGAAGCCAACACCATCAAGCTTCTTGGAGTGACATTTGACGCCAAGCTGTCATTCCGGGATCACTTGCACTCAATTGCGACACGTGGCTGCCAGAGACTGGGTGTTCTCCGTCGGGCTTGCCGGGTGTTAGATTACCATGGCCGGCTTTGTGCGTACAAGGGATTTGTGCGACCCATCCTCGAGTATACTCCCCTTGTGTGGATGGGAGCTGCATCCAGCCACCTCGCCCGACTCGACCGTGTACAGAAACGTGCAATGGCCATTATTGGCCCTGGTGCCCTTCTCCAAAGCCTGTGCCACCGCCGGATTGTATCTGGGCTTGTATATCTGTACAAGCTCCAGTGCATCCCAGGACCACCCCAGCTCACCGCCATGATCCCCCCTCCAGCCAACCATGTAGAAGCTCGGCGCACCCGGAGTCAACCCCCTCCTGGCCAGCAGCACCATGTGCAGCTGCAGCAAGTCCTGGACAGGAGAGCACCTGCCTATGCTTCTCGCTCCTTCCCGTTTTCTGTAGTCTCAGTATGGAACAGCTTGCCAAGCGAAATTGTAAGGGCTCCACTCAGCTTGAAGCGGCTCCACACGTTCAAAGAAGATGTCCATAAGTACCTCACGCACCAACACTGGCTGATGGCTACCGACTTCTACGGATGAACTTCTGACTGTGGCACGGGTCATGTTCCTTGGTTCGGCTATGCCGATGATATTGGGCTTCATTTACCTTTTATTATTTAAATTTTTATTATTAATTTTTTATTTAGTTTGTTTTGTTTGTTATGATTTCTTGGTTTTCCACCCGGTTTAGTTATAATTTAAATTATTATTTGGTGCAGCTTTAGCGCTATGTGGTTTATTATTTCCTTTTTCTTAATTTCGTATTTAGCGCTTTTGGGCGTCATTATTTTCTTCTCATTATTTCGCACCAAGTTATTATTTGTGGTATTCTCTAGCTTCTGTTTGTTTTGCAGTTGTTCTTGTGCACCCCCCCCCCCCAAACACACACTTTTTTCGATGCCTAGTTGCAACGCTGACGCCGAGACCTCTGGTCGGTTGAGTTGCTCCCAGCACATCAGCACGTCGTCCCTACATCCCCTATGTTTTGTCCTTTTCCTCGTTTCTTTTGTTCTCCACCTGTTTTCCAGTAGGGCTGTGTCAATAGTAAAAAAAAAAAAAAAAAAAAAAAAATACATCCATGGATGGTCGATCGAGTCACTATGGCGCTGCAACAATAAGTGTGAACTCTTTTCGGCTGTGGGCGTATCAATAGGGCACAACACATTGTATGCAGTTACTGCATACGATAACTCACATGTACTAGAATACAGTGCACTGCCTTTGTCCGATGACTCATGTATGACTTATAATACTCTGCTGATTCAAATCATGATATACTCAGCAGGATAGATGACTGATGTACAACACTCATAACACTCTGCTGCCTAGTCCAGTGATGACTTACTCAGAAGGATAGATGACTGATGTATGACACATAATACTCGGTTGTCTAGTCCAGTGTAATGATATACTCAGAAGGATAGATGACTGACGTACAACGCTTATCGACTTACTCAGCAGGATAGATACACTCCATCATGTGAGCTATCACTGGAGCATCACCCCACGAGTGTTCCACATTCATGCTGGCCAAACCATTGGCGTAGATGGAGACGCTGAGACTCTTGTCATACCACACACACCGACCATCACCATGAAAGGCTTCTGTGCAGCGCTCCGCCAGTGTTTGCGGTGACTCATCACGTAGTGAAAACTGTATGCAGAGAGAGAGAGAGAGAGAGAGAGAGAGAGAGAGAGAGAGAGAGAGAGAGAGAGAGAGAGAGAGAGAGAGAGAGAGAGAGAGAGAGAGAGAGAGAGAGAGAGAGAGAGAGAGAGAGAGAGAGAGAGAGAGAGAGAGAGAGAGAGAGAGAGGAGAGAGAGAGAGAGAGAGAGAGAGAGAGAGAGAGAGAGAGAGAGAGAGAGAGAGAGAGAGAGAGAGAGAGAGAGAGAGAGAGAGAGAGAGAGAGAGGGAGGGGGGGGGAAGAGAGAGGAAGAGAAGGGAAGAGAGGGGAAGAGAGGAAAATGCTAGTATGAAAAGAGTGAGTGAGTGCCACATTGTTCACACAGCCACTGTCCTAGCTACTTGCACACTACCAATAAAACAACCTTGCTCGTACAGTATGACAGTACGACAGTACTACGCTATGGCAGCATGACAGTATGGCAATACAATAGTATGGCAATACAATAGTATGGCAGTACAATGGTATGGCAGTACAATAGTATGATAGTATAGCAGTAATGAAACTCTAGCTGGCAATAGGCAATAACCAGCACAGGTACCAGTACTCACAAAGAACATGGCTGTTTCAATCTCTTCCAGTGTCTTCTTGTTAGTCGTGCTCTGTAACATCATCTGCCTTGTTTCATACCATGTGATACGATCAGCTCCGGTCAGGGATGCTACATCACCACATGCGCTCTTCTCACCACCTGAACACAAGACAAGTCCAACACAGTACAGTATGCAAGCATGCGTATGCCAAACATTTACAACTCCATCAATATATAATTTGCCTCTTTTGCTAGCTTATCTCGCCGCTCTCCACCATGGTCAACATAGTGATACATTTCACCCCGCTGATGCATTATTTTCTTCCGATTATCATCTTCTTTCCTTCATTCTTTCTTTTTTTTCTTCTCTTGCCATGGCTGGCTAACGCCCCCTCCTTTGCATTGGCTTCTGCCACTGGACGGTGAAATAATAATCATAATAATAACAATATGTAGACTTGAACGGGAAAGTGGCTGCTTCAAACGTTGGAGTCTCCTCCCCTCCCCTTGCTGGTAGACTTACTCCCTATTCCGTACTCCCCACATCCTGACACTCCCGTCTGCAGGGTACCTTTCTCACCCCACTTAGGTCACACAAAAACACTTTTCAAGGAAGAACGGAACCAAAAGTATTGCTTGCAATAAAACGGGGTTACTTGAATTACAACATCATGCACATTCTAAGTCGTGCAATTCCTAGTTTAGGACAGCGCCCAGTCCCGACCTGCCCAGATAAGGGGAGGACACGCAGGTCTAATGTGCCTGGTCCCAACATGCCCGGATACATGCACGGGGAGTCCAGGCAGTGCTTGGTCCCAACCTGCCCATATAAAAGGGAGTACGGGCAGGTCCAATGTGCCCGATCCCAACATGCCCGGATATATGTACAGGGAGTCCAGGCAGTGCTTGGTCCCAACCTACCCATATAAAAGGGAGTACGGGCAGGTCCAATGTGCCCGGTCCCAACATGCCCGGATATATGTACAGGGAGTCCAGGCAGTGCTTGGTCCCAACCAGCCCATATAAAAGGGAGTACGGGCAGGTCCAATGTGCCCGGTCCCAACATGCCCGGATCCATGTACAGGGAGTCCAGGCAGTGCTTGGTCCCAACCTGCTCCGCCCCTACCTGCTCAGTCTCAATGTGCTTGGATGAATAATCAAACAATTACAAACACATGAACAACATGGCCTGTACGGGACTGTACCTGACTCCACCAGCTTGACAAGCTCATCAATCTGATACTGCAGTTCCCGTGGTGATAAGCGCTGGCGTTTCTTGTCGTAAAGTTCCACCCGAAAGTACATTCCACGGTAGAAGAAGACTATGTGCTGCACAAGGACAAGACATAGTACTATCTATATGTGCTGCACAAGGCCAAGACATAGTACTATCTATGAGAAGCTAATAGAGACGTTGATAACTGGCTAGTGTCAGGTTTGCTTCTCATATTCCGTTCACGGGTCGCGGCTTTGTCTAGGCGAGGGAAGTCGCTATTCACACTAAAAGCGTCCAAAACAATTGTAAAGAAGGCAACTTTTTTACTCCAAAATGATTGACATCTTGACGAAAAAGGGGGCCATGTACAATTTTCACCATAATGCAGCGATCGCAGGCGTAAACACTACAACAATTTAGTCCATTGCAATACCTGACGCTAGTTTAATGCAATGCACAGTACTACGTGACTGAGGGTCAGCACTGGAATCTTACAATGTCTCACAATGTCTCACAATGTCACAATGTCTCACAATGTCTCCTGTGACAGAGGAAAACCAAGTAAATCTGTATGCCATTGATAAGTGAGAAAAGGTTTACAAGAATGTTGTCCAGTACCTTGGCCTTGTCCACATGGCGAAGGTGATCTATCTCCTTTCCTGGGATTCTGGACACCGGCATTGTCAGAACATTTACAATAAAAAAAGAAGTGCTCAATCATACGGTTACTCATGAGTTCAGGAAGTTAAATCATAATTAATCGGATTTGGTGACACAGCATTCCTCAAATATGACTGCACTGCTCTGTTTACTGGCTTTCCAACAATGTTCCATTTGTAACGATCCGATAATAGTTTTCCACAAAGTTATGATAGTTTGTACAGCAGTGTATTCAGTGCTAGGGTTTGCTCTAGATGTAGTACACTGTTGAGACATGCACAATTTCAAGTATGCATGGTAGTTGATAAAGAGTTGAACAAGACGGGTTAGTACTCATGGTGCTAACCAATAGTCAACTTTCATGGTGTGGGTTCAAATATCATGAACAAATAAAGGTGACAAAACCTCTTTCGAAAGGATTTTATAAAACGCGAAAGTGCATCTTTGGTCTTCCACCAGTCCACCAATGCAAAAACTACATCAAGTCCATTCACTCTTTGCCGTCCGTCGTTTTGAAAGGTCTTGTCCTTTGTTGAATCCGGCATGACTGTGCTCAGAGCAAATTCAGGCAGCCTGACTGCCACAACACGCTACAATGCTACCTTTCTCACAACCTGATCACAAACTATACTCACCGAGTGGTTGCTAAGCAACGAGCATACTGCTCCATACAAAGTGGAATGAGGTTTTGAATGCGTAGCGGCTTCATGCCCTCATGTTCAATTTGATCATAGAAGTTTGCAATTAACCAGATGACACCAGCCGCCCTACGGCATGAAAAAAGACAACAAATCAGTAAATCAGTCAGCAATACTGTGGGAATTGCAGGTAGGTGATAGTACAAGATGTGATAGCACAAGTATGTTGTTGTGTGGGACTACGGTTGATCGTGGATTGACAACATCTAATCTGAACTCTATGCCCTCTTTTTCCTATGCATTCTTCCTGTTTTTGCGGTACCAAGTAGCGCATCCACTTCTCCCTCATTGGCAAATTTCATTGTATGAATTCCTTTGTTCAATATCTCTTTCTCTCCGTACCTGAGTTCGCTACCAGTCTGTTCTCCATGCATGTACAATGCACTTCACTCTAGGCTCTAAACGATAGCACTACGTAGAGTACTGGCACCCAAGAGAACACCGTGAACAGTCGGGTACATGCACTGTACTCATGTACAGTAGTCACCCAACACAACACAGTGAACACTGTCCGTTGTGTTACATGACTTGTACTGTCTTAGCTCACACCGAGGAGAGAGAGAGAGAGAGAGAGAGAGAGAGAGAGAGAGAGATAGAGAGAGAGAGAGAGAGAGAGAGAGAGAGAGAGAGAGAGAGAGAGAGAGAGAGAGAGAGAGAGAGAGAGAGAGAGAGAGAGAGAGAGAGAGAGCATGGACCGGATCAGCACACAGACCCTTCAGTTCAGCTTCACATCGGTAAAGGGAAAGAGACTTGGAGACGCAACATGCAGTGCCAGAGACACGGGCCTAGGTAACCATGGCAACATTGGATTCAATATGGTGTAACTATGACAACCAGAAGAGCATATTATCACATATATGTAGTCAACAGTATCCTGTACCTTGCCGATCTATTCTGGGTTGGAATGAAGTTATACTGATCCAGTGCATAGTAGTTGCTGTTTACAGCGATGGATGAGCGTCCCATCATGTATACATATTGCTCCCTGGAGCACATCAACACATCACAGAAAAAAGTACACAAGGAACATAGGTTTATACTTTCAATACAATGTGCATAAGGGGCCATCCGTAAATACCGATATTTATTTAGAAACGAAAACTAGTCGTTTCTCTTCAACCCCCCCCCCCCCCCCCCTCAGAAACGAACATATACAAACGATGCATGGCATTGATATTTTTTCTTTTCTTTTCTGGACGTGCCCACACATACATGTACAAACTGTGCATCGATATTTTTCGAGAAACGAACAGGCGCTAACCCCCCCCCCCCCCTCCCCCCTAAACGACTAGTTTTTGTTTCTAAATAAATATCTATATTTACGGATGGCCCTTTACATTGGTCAACCACATGCTGAATTCTTCTTAATGCAGGTACAGTCGTCCCTCTCTAATCCGGCACCTTTTGCTACGGCGTTTTCTGCTGGATTGATGAGGGTGCTGGATTAAGAAATCCTGCCCTCTGACCCAGCCCTACCCAATTGCATGCATGTATCACACGTCAAAACGCAGGGTTTTTCCGTGTCGACCCAAGTTTTTCTTTTTTTTTTCTTTACAAAAAACCACACACCATTTGATGGCACAAAGCAGCAAGGCAGCTATGAGACATATGGAATGGCAGGAGTGGGGAGAGGCAGGGGCAGCTTGACCGACCATAGGGTCTCGGCTTCATTGCAACCCAAGCGCTCCACAAAAACAAAAGATTACAGAAAATACGCAGGGGGGGGGGGGGGGGTAGATAACTGGGGATTACGGGGAAAAGTAGGCACAATAAAAAGTTATCAGAGAGTCAACGAAGTGAATGGAGGAGGGAACAGAGTTAGAGCTTTTTTCGTCTTTTTTCTTTGATTCATAGCCTGTCCATTGCCCACTCCCAGCGGGTAAGGCGCAGGTGGGCGTTGACATTTTCTTTGAACGTCTGCAGTCCTTTCCTTGTTGGCTGGTTCAGCAGAACGCACTGCGGGAGCTGGTTCCAGACCTCCACAACAGCGTCAGGGAAGGACCGAAGGACATCATTCCGTGCTCTGGGTGGAAGAGTGGAAGTGAGCTGAAACTGGTGTGAGGGATGCATTTGTGTGCGTCGGCTATGGCGTGATGTGTTGGTCGCTCGGGGTGGAAGAAGGGTGAGAAGCATGTCTGGGCCAGTTGAAAAGTGGAGCTTGTACAGAAAGCAGAGTGCTCCGACCATTCTGCGGATGTCCAAGCTAGGGAGGTAGGCTCCGTCACCGATTAGGTGAAGGCCACGGCGTTGGATGGCAGTGAGGCGAGCCAGAGTGGTGGGTGCAGCGCTCATCCACACGAGCATGCCGTACTCCAAAACAGGGCGGACAAAGCCCTTGTAGATCACTCCACGGCACCTGGAGTCCAGCACTCGCGAGGCTTTCCGGAGGAAGCCGAGACGCTGTGAGCCTCGAATAGCCAATTGCCTGATATGAGCTGTGAAGGACAGGTGTTGATCAAACAGCACACCCAGCAGCTTCATATGGTGCACGGCTTTGTATTCTCAACTGTTCTCCAGGAATACACAGTGATAAAGTGATAAAGTAAAACAGAGAACATGTTCACATGTACTCTTGCACACACACACACCTGAAAATTGGCAGGACACTACTCCTTGCTAAAATAAGAAAGTATGGTTGACTGCTTAGCCGTTGTCTCCTGGACAACATTGACCCTCTTGAGAAGGCCACGCAAGCAGTCGACATCATGCAGGTCGCACGTTATACTTAGTTGTAGAACGTCAGTACCATCGGTCAGTGTCGTGCAATGTTATCGCATGAGCTGATTGTTTAGTAACTGGTGGTGTTAGTGGACAGTATAGCGTAACTTGTAGTTCCTTGGTCTTTCTCTTTGTATAAATTGAGTTAGGGTTCAGAAAAGTCCTAACAACCAACCGAACTGAACTCTCCCGCGCGAGGTCGAGTACAGTTGTCAACTGAACTGAACTCTGAAGTGGCCCTGCACGCGCGGCACTGACCAGACTGGCCTAGCCTGGCCTGGCAAGGAGTGCACCTGTACGGTACGCGATTTACGACTGCCGGATTATGAAATCAAACTACGTGCAGTTTGAGCGATTCGTTTCAAAAAGTCACTGCCGGAGGCGGAATTCAAGTGCCGGATTAAGATGTAGGAATCAACCGAAAAAAATCGGTTTCGTCAGAAAGTGCGCCGGTTGGCAAGGGTTCCGGATAAACAAGTGCCGGATTAGAGAGGGACGACTGTAGTTGTATGTTCTTGTGTGCTAATTGGGTCAGCATATCGTGGTTCAAGGGTATAGCTAATTGGGTGAGTATATCCTTGCTGTATAGCTGTCCAGTACCAAAACTAGCTAACCTGAACACACACACACACAATACAATACAATATGCCCATCCGGAGATGATAGCAGGTCCCAAAGGGACCAACAGTGTTCAAGTCACGAGCAGAATCGGGCGTGGCGAGCCAAGTCCTGGCGACGGCGATAGCGCTTTCCACAAGTGCAAACGAAGACTAAGGTGACGGGCTCGGTCGGAGGAATGGTGCTGCATGCTGATCTCCATTCTCTGCGATCCTGGGCGAGGTCGTACCAGTCCGCTATCTGGCGGTCCTTCATGTCGGACACAACATTGTCCCGCCACCGCTTCCGGGGCCCATGACGTGGCCGGGTCTTGTCCAGTTCGCCGAAGAGGATACATGTTGGCATACGGGAGTCATCCACACACACACACACACACACACACACACACACACACACACACACACACACACACACACACACACACACACACACACACACTTACTTGTACTTGTTGCTCACTGCCAAAACTGGTCACGTGGGTCTCCCCGGGAGAGGGGAGAGAGACTCAAAAGGAATCTTGGAAAGATGGCTCAATTGGCTATTGAACCGCCCAACGGCCGACACCCCGTGAAATCCCCAAAACTATGGGTGGATTTGAAAATGATCCCACTTATAGGCTCACCACACCTCTGTAAGTGGGTGAGGACAAGGTGAGGACACACACACACACACACACACACACACACACACACACACACACACACACACACACACACCTATACCTAGAGAATTCATTATTTTAAACATAGTGCCTGTGTCTAAAGAACCAGTGCAGCCCTAAACAGTGCATGGCTCCATTCTGGAAAGTTGCAACATGTCTCATGCATTCTGGAAAGTTGCAACATGTCTCATGCATTCTGGAAAGTTGCAACATGTCACATGCGGCGCAAAGACAGCTATGCAGTGTACCACTCAGATGTCCAAAGTAGTAGATGTTACTTGTGGCATGATACAGGGAAAGTGACTCAGGTTCTAATTCACTCACCACCAATCTGAAACGTAGTTACTGGCCCACCAGGATTTCAACCAGAGAATACGTTGCAGCTGGATGCCATGGCCTTTCTCAAACTCCTGAAATCAACAAAACATGATAATCAATACTACTATAAAGAATGAACTATCGTGTGTTTCAGCCACTGGGTAGAAAGTACACTAGCCACTAGGCACAACACACTAGCCGCTAGACACAAAGCAGACAATACACTAGCCGCTAGGCACAACACACTAGGCACATAGTAGACAGTACACTAGCCGCTAGGCACAACACACTAGCCACTAGGCACATAGTAGACAATACACTAGCCACTAGGCACACAGCAAACAACATACTAGCCACTATAGGAACACAGCGACACAACCCCCCTCCCCGTTCCTCGGCACCAAAACTCAGACTCTTTACAAATGCCACTCAAAAGCATTCAGATTAATTTTACAAATGCCACTCAGACTTGCAAATACCAGTCAAAACACTCAGACTTGCAAATACCAGTCAAAAACACTCAGACTTGCAAACACCAGTCAAAAACACTTAGATTTACATGCACTCAAGCAGTCAGATATACATGCTCTAGGGCAGTCAGATTTATATGCGCTTGGCCTTTTGAACATACCAAGCACATGCGACTGGAAACTCACACAGTCAACTTCGCTAATAACGACTGCGGATATAACGACAATTCGCGAATAACGACAGAATGTCCATGCCCAGAGCAAAGTCCCATCCAACTGTAATACATATAATGGGACTTCAGGTATAACGACACTTCGCGAATAAGGACACTTTTCTGATGCCCCGCTGAGTGTCGTTATAAGCGAAGTTGACTGAACTTACATGCGCCTGTACAGTCAATGAATCGTGTTCCTCTTTGCTAAGCAGCGGACGCATAGAAGCAAGAAACTTTGTCATGGTGGCGTTTAGCGGAGGTACATGCAAGCGAGGCAGACAGCGTTGGAAACTGTACAGTGAGGGGTTGGGGCCTGTAAACAGACGCACTGCTAGTCCCCACAACATCAACACCACGTTGCCTTTCTTCTTTCCTGGCTCTTGATCTGAAAACAGACATGAACACATACACACACACATACACACACACACACACACACACACACACACACACAGAAACACAGAAACACACCCACATGCAAATCAAAACTCTATAAATAGAAAGTATGAGGGTATGAGTGTCACTTTCACTGCTCCCAGCAAGAATACGTTGGCGTAAAGAGAAAACGTCAAAACGAGTACTAGTAGTTGGAAGTAGAATCCAGACTACTTGCAGTGGTTAATGCTACAATCGACTCCAACTTTAACGAACTCGTCTATAGGGAATTTCGTGATATAGCAAACCAGTGTCTATGTCACTGTTTGAACCCATACAAAATTCACCCTCCGTAGTGATCAGTTTTCGTTTATAACGAACCATGTCTTGTAGGGCCACATGTCAACTAGAGGTAACAGTTAAGTGCAATCATACTGTCATGCCAGTCATGCCAGCGTGTTGCTTGTATGGTGTGAGTGCATTTAGGTTATACAGAACTTCAAAACATAATGACAATACATAACTTCAGCTATAAAGAACGAATTCTCCTGCACAATGGTCACGGTTTGGTTATATCAGGAGTTCACTGTGCTCGTTGGTCTTGGCCAGTTGTGCGTGAAACCTTTTGTTCATGTTCAGTCTGTTAACCACTAGCAAGGGGACTACAGACCATTCCATGTACTTTAACAACAAGACAGTGGCACTGTGCATACTACAGTGCAGTATAGTGAGGCTGGATTTCAGTTCAGCTAGGGAACTTACTTCTTATCTCTACCTTCAGCTTTTCTCATCAGGCGCGGCATATAGCTAGAAGAAATCATTTGATGTTTCATATGCAGGACCGCCGGAAACAGTTATCAATTGGTCCGGTCGTACCATAGTCTTTCATAGTAATACAGTTTGTGTATAACATGGCGGGGAGTCTGGGGACATATACCATAGTCTTTCATAGTAATACAGTTTGTGCATAACATGGCGGGGAGTCTGGGGACATATCCCCCCCCCCCCCCCCCCCTCAGCAGTAAACATGCGTTGGTAGCCACAAAGTTGGTCCGGTGATAACCTGACCAACCGGACTGGTTACGGCGGGACTGGTTACGGCGGGACTGGTTACGGCGGGACTGGTTACGGCGGGACTGGTTACGGCGGGACTGGTTACGGCGGGACTGGTTACGGCGGGACTGGTTACGGCGGGACTGGTTACGGCGGGACTGGTTACGGCGGGACTGGTTACGGCGGGACTGGTTACGGCGGGACTGGTTACGGCGGGACTGGTTACGGCGGGACTGGTTCCAGCGGGCCTGATATGAGCTTGCTGTACATGTACTGGTATATGTACATGACTTGTATACGCTTGCTGTGTCATTATTCCTACATAACCGGTATGTTCACTATCATGGGGTCCCAGACCAGTCAATACTTACATGTACTGGTATATGTACATGACTTGTATACGCTTGCTGTGTCATTATTCCTACATAACCGGTATGTTCACTATCATGGGGTCCCAGACCAGTCAATACTTACACAGCCATCCTTTCCAAGTGAGTAAGATCTTGAGAGCAGTCTGCCTGACCAAGGCCAGGAGAATAAGTGTCACAACACCAAAGACTGCAGCACAAATAACAACTTGTGATGGCCGTGACAAATGAACATAGTCATCACTCTTGTTGTCCAGCTGCAGGAAGTTTTTCACGTAGACGAACGCTGCTAGCAAGAAGGTAGGGCAATGCAGCTCTTCAATCACCATTGCCGTCACAACAAGCAGCAACATAGATAAGTACCATGCTGAAAGCGGCCACAGATTGTCACGCACACGGTTTCTGTAAATACAAATATCAAAACAACACAACACATGTGTTCCTAAATCCCGGAGGCTCCATTTCACGCATCTACACACCCAAAACATTACTCCACTCATCTTTATCTCACACTGCAAGAAAATCAATTAAAGAGTTGGTGGACAAGCCGTTGATTATTCACTCTCATTGTAATATCAAAAAGTATTCTTTCTAGACCAAAGAGTGGTATATTTGATAACATTTAATAACGATAGAAATTTTTACGATACTTCTCCAGACGTTTCGTTGTTCTGAACAACATCGTCAGTGGATAAAGAATTTTCTTTATCCACTGACGATGTTGTTCAGAACAACGAAACGTCTGGAGAAGTATCGTAAAAATTTCTATCGTTATTAAATGTGTTATTAAATGTTATCAAATATACCACTCTTTGGTCTAGAAAGAATACTTTTTGATAAAATCAATTAATCTACACACATACTCCACCACTGTGGGTATCTCCTGGGAATTCCAACATACTCCACCACTGTGGGTATCTCCTGGGAATTCCAACATACTCCACCACTGTGGGTATCTCCTGGGAATTCCAACATACTCCACCACTGTGGGTATCTCCTGGGAATTCCAACATACTCCACCACTGTGGGTATCTCCTGGGAATTCCAACATACTCCACCACTGTGGGTATCTCCTGGGAATTCCAACATACTCCACCACTGTGGGTATCTCCTGGGAATTCCAACATACTCCATCACTGTGGGTATCTCCTGGGAATTCCAACATACTCCACCACTGTGGGTATCTCCTGGGAATTCCACAGTTATTCCCTAAAGATACCCGTCATCGGGGGGAAGGGGGGGGGGGTAGGATGTGTCAAAAATCCGGATGAATTGACTACTATACAATATTGTGCAGCACACATACCACAATTATGATAGCATGCACACAGGCGCACACATACCACAATTATGATAGCATGCACACAGGCGCACACATACCACAATTATGATAGCATGCACACAGGCGCACACACCCGCAAATGCACCCACAGACACGTGCGTGCATGCCCACTTTAGCCACTGATACACACTGGCTTCGCAATAGAGGTCATCGCAGTTCCTTTTTGCGAAGACATGCTGTGGAATCCAATACCAGTTTTGAGCGACAAACATTGCTCATTTTTATTGAGATTTGAATGGCAAAAATTTCTTTTCACGGTTCGCGTGAGACTCGCCGAGTTTTCTGCATCCGCAGGAACGCCATCACCCTCAAAGATCCAGGCGCACATGATTCTTGAATGGCAAATTTACTTTTTTTTTAATGGTAGTGCATGGCAGACCATACAAGCAGCCATTGCTGCTGAGTTTTGAGCGGCAAGCCAGCAGGAGGACGTCACTGCAGCATGGATTTACTAGTCCAAATAAATCATGTATGGATTATTATATGTACTCCAAATAAATCATTTCAAACAAGAGAGCTTGAAAGCTCAGGGCCCTCTCTAGGCTTTGTTTTGACCTAGGTCATCATGCATGGCATTCGAACTGATAGGAACGTCTTTGCAATACAAAATTGTGTACTCGATAATCGTATTGCAAAGACGTTTCTATCAGTTTGAATACGGATGATGATCAGGGTAAAATCAAAGCATACCGAGGACTCTGAGCTTCCAAGGTCTCTTGTTTCACGCTTTGGTTCTAGCTTCCATTTGTTTTCTTTTTCTTTTTTTTCAAAAATTTCAACACATAACATAGGATTCGAACCCCCACTATCACCCTGCATGCATTCCCTTGATACACTTCACACACAATCATACACATTCTAACAAATTGCTTCACGGATCCTGCCTTTGAAATCCCTATTTGGATACGTGGGTGAACGCTGGTGGCCAGCTCTCATTGACGGTCGGTATGGGACATGTACGGTATTAGTACGGGGGCCAGGTGCCCAAAATGTTTACTTTCGTTGCAGTTGAGAGCGCACAACTTTTTGAGAGTTTCAACGTGTAGAGGGGACACAAGGAGCTCAACGATATATTTTTTGACCCTCGAAACGTGATGGAAGGTGCTGAAATTAGCCGTTGAAGTTTAGTGCATGATAACCATGGCAACTGCATAGCAACACCATAGCAACTACTGTTTTATTCTTGTTTTTAGCCTACAGTAATGTTCTAAAACGATTGAATGACTAAAATCAAGTTAACACGATCTGGAATGAAGACCATTGGGATATATACAGACTGCAGGAATGCCAGAAAGGAATATAAAAAAAAGCATAATACGTATACTCTTACGTGTACATTGTCCATGGATGTGTACATGTATGTAATGTAGATGTATGTAATGTAGATGTACGTAATTGAAACTCAATCTCATGCTATAGTGGCAGTTAGTTGCCCAGATCACTGGCCCTGTTCTGGCAGCTATCTGCAGCGCTGCATCCACAAACATCAGTACAATGCAAAGACTGTGCTTTGCAGGAGCAGCGGCCTCCGTCACAGCCTGTTTTGCAGCCGCATTTATTATTATTATTATTATTAAAAGTAGGAAGGAAAAGGACATTGTGCCTAGTTGTTGCACTTTCTGACTGTATATAGTATCTAGTTACAGTGGTGGAGAGTTACTCTTAACTCGTTTCCATATGTCCTTTTCCTTTCTACTTTTATTATTGGCTCAATACCCGAGTTTCAAATTATTATTAATATTATTATTGTGGAAGAGAAAAAGACAGACATTTATGGCTCAACATCCGAGTTTCAAATATTATTATTTATTCATATTTTCATAGGGCAGTCCCCACAGACAGGTCTTCTTACGGGGTACCCTAAGAATGAAAGTAATGCATGGCGAAATAGGGATGGCGATGCAGCAGTGCGGATATCAGATGGAGCACTATTTAACAAACTCCATCAGGGCTGTGGGATAGGCCTCGACCAAATATGCTAAAAAAAAGAGCATATTATGCTCGTCGCATATCAGGGAAAACGTCCATAATATGCCAAAGGTTTAGCAAGATATGCAAAAAGATATGCCAAAATATGCTCGACATAAGCAGAAAGTGTAGATCATTTCAGTAAAATTTCAACCTTGGAATATTCACTGGCTTCACGGCTATCATACTTATGGTGCAAATCAAATCACATGCGGAATAGCATGGCTGGGGTGTGTCCCCAGCAACCGTAGCGATAGTGTTCATCCATGGGGAAATGTAGCAAACGCCTCAACCATTCCAAATTCATCCGTAAAAGGCATTTCTGAACGCATTTTGTCCATAATATGAATGTTTTGTCCTCGTTTTCTTCAGAATATTTGATTTATATGCTGGCTTCATTCCAATATTACCTTTGTCGCTCAATATGCCATAATGAACTGTCTCACAAAATATGCGGAAATATGCGCAACAATATTTGGTCGAGGCCTACTGTGGGAGCAGGCTCCAGGGACAACCAGTCAACCTGGAGCTTGCCATCCACTAGTTTCCAGCCTTGGTGAGCAGTGAATGAAGATGTGATATGCAAGGTCAGAGAAGGTAGCAGGTAGTGATTTCTGGCTCATGGCTTGCAACATAGCCATAGCATCAACAATGAGAGCACTTGACTCAGATGGAGTATTTCCGGGTGGACGTACACCATCAGAAACCTTCACGAGCAACTGGAGCAGTGCAGACTTGTTAGTCTTCACTAGTGTGCCATCTGAGGTACAGAGAGATAACGGTGCTGATCCCAATGGGTACGAGAGAATTTGACGAACATCCATATGGCGACACTGGGCCATAACAGCCATCTTGCTGAAAAGAGCACAGTCGGCACGCAATACAGATACTGCTTTGCTCCGGCTGGTTGGCGTTCGTGACTTTCTGTTTGAGAATGTTTCGAGCTTCAATCTTGGAATGGGATCCAGGAACTTCTTTTCCTGAGCCGCAAGTCTTTCTTGTGGACTACTGCAAGGAAGCTAGCCAACACTTGCGCCTATCCACCTGTACTGTCCGATAAATCGATGTCATTTTTGTCTTCCAAAACTCGCGTGTAGTGGCGGAAACAGTCACGATGGTAATGTAGATCTACCTCTCGAGCAATCGGGCATGAAAGGCATGAAAGGGAATTGCGTTGTCCTCTCTTACCTCGGCTGCATCGAGCACTTTCTGGGCTGCGTTGAGAGATTGGCACTGAGATGTCTTTTGGTACTTGTGCTTCTTTCCAAGCAACAACTTTCGACAGAAAATGCTATCTTTCCTTCCTGACTCGACGACGGGAGCAGAGACACTTTGCCGAGTTGCCCTCCGACATACCGGCACCTCCATGATGGCGCCAGATTACCGTCGTGAAACTCACATTGTTGGTGCTATAGGTGCAGCCCCTTCGTGGTGCTGAAACCGCTACGTGCGTGTCAACAATACCAGGACTGACTCGGAAGTCGATCGGAGGAGAGAGAGAGTTAACCCAGTCAGTCAGGACATACCACATCCTACTCCACTTTCGAAATAATTGTTGCCCGGGCCCTTCGTGGTCCCGAAACCATCACCTGCATGTCAACAATACCAGGACTGAAGTTTGGTGCAGCGGGCCTGCACTGGGGTTGTGTAGGGAAGTCTCATCTGTCTTGACAAGTCATTATTTTACAACTTCCAGGGCATACCGCACGTACTGGCCGAGTGGAGGACAAAATCACCTCGTTCGGGACCTTCCATTCACTTTTCGAAGCTGTTTTTTTTAGATTTCATGTCTGTATTGCCCCCTCTATGACTCTGTCGTGTCAAATTGTTGTGCGCTAAAAGTCGGAACGAAACTTTTTTTGAAGGACTTTTTTCAGCCCTGGCCCCCGTACTATATGGGATATGTACGGGACAGCTCGCCAGGCATGCCGCGTCACAGCATGATGGCCGGCCCACACACAGAAACGAAATAAAGATTCGTGGACCCTGGCTAGCGCTAGATGCTACTAACGTAACATATTTTGCATAGCTCCGGGAATATTTATTTTGAAATCCCACAACCACTCTATTAACCCAAACAGCCTAAGTTGCTACAAATTAACCATCACTAAAATAATGTGCATAGAATTGTGCATAGCAAACAAACGGGTACATATGGCACATAGTTTCACAAAGCACTTGACCCCTTCTTGAGAATACACATCATAGGTTCAGTTTTTAGACTCTCAATCATCCTACCTGACTCGAAATGAATTGCGTATGAAAGAACGGCGCGTTGCTCTTGCAAAGTCGACTAGGGGGGTAACGTTCAGACCTGCTTGCAGAGTCAGCGACGGCTGCTGAGTACCAGAGCGAGCCTCAGCCATGTTGCCTGTTTGTCGAGGAGGCTTGCACTCTCCTAACAAACAGTCGTACTGCAGCACGCAGCGTCCAGGAACGCACCCACCTTCAAGCTAGGTTCATAGAACATAAAATTCTGAGCAGCGATGTGTGTGAGCTTCCAATGTGAGACTTCCAAACAGCGTCTAGTACTATTACTATTAGGTTTGATATGAACTTCTCAAACTGTTATCTTTGCTAAAAGTCAAGTATTATTATCGTGATCAGCTACTCGACCAAGCGTGCTACTGAAGCAGTGAAGGACAGAACATAAAGTCAGGCCCTGCTTAGTTCTCTGCTGTGGCACAGCATTCGTGCGGCTGCCACATGTATGAAGAGAGATTTTCCAACACCACAACAGCAGATTTGAGTCTGCCTCCCCGTGTCTTCGCTGTAACGACGACGCCTCGACTCTCTGCGAGCAGTTTCAGGCGTTCATTTCAGGCGTTCACCTTTCATAGATATCGCACTATCACTGACTGTACAAGCCATGCTTGCTTGCACCATGTGCGTGAGTTGTTGAATGTTATGTTGACTGTTGAGGAATGAATGGTTCACTGGTCATCACGGTCAGAGGTGACAACATCTATGATCTAGATCTACCCATCACCATGTACCACTGCATGAAGGCACCGACCTATTAGAGTATTAGAATCTACTGACTGTAACATGTATGATGTAGGCGCTAGGCCACCATCAGTACATCTGCAGTAGAATCTGTGTCAGTCAGTGTATCATGTGTATGGTAGATCAAGGAGTACGAGTACCGATGGTACTACACTCGTCTACAGCCTCACACAGGTACTAGGTGCCAGAGCTGGTTTTTGTTTACAAACTGGCGCTTTTTTTGGCCTGGCGAGTGAAACCACTACACTGTCACTGTCACTGTACTGCCACTGCCTGGCCCTGGCCTGGGACTGGGACTGTGGGAGGTGTGTGTTGGGCCAGGCCAGGTCTAGCCTCTAGGCAACGGCACCACCATGTACCACCTGCACAGCTATGCATGGCAGCATGTGGTGCTCAGCATGGACTGCGTTGGAATGCTCGTAGATTCTACTCTGTGTATCACCGTGTACGTGTGTGGCTCTGTTGTCGTGTTGAGTACTGTTGTGTTGAGAAAAGTCGACGACTCGGCGAGTCAGTACATGATGTACATGTCAATGGCTGGCATTGGCTGCTAGACAATGGGTGGGCCGACTCAGATCAGCCTCATGGTGACGTGTAGCGGTGCGTGCCGTGCGTGGTGCCTGATGGCTTTACCAATCCCGCTCAGTCTGGCAGGGCAATTATTTGGTGGTTAGTTGTTCTGGAATTCTCTCTTCCCCTCTGTAAGACTCATTCCCCTATCATCAGCGTTGAAGACAGCCCTTGCACTTGGCAGAGCTACTATTCTGCATTGATTAGGACACTGGTAATGGCATGTACGTCCCTTCTTCGCATAATTGTATCGCTATGGCCAACTGAACATTTCCTTCATCTCTTCCCTCCTCTTCGTCATTTTTCTCTGTCTCCTGTGGGTGTTCCATCCTCGGTCCTCTCCTCTCTGTTGACTTCGGGTAAAAAGGGTTAGGGTTATCTTCCTTTTTGAATGGACTTGGATGGAGAGCCAATGATAAATTTACAGAAAAGAAATAGGACCAAGGAACTACAACTTCAAGTTGGAAGGCTTCTGGAGTGTGTATCCAAGATGTGCTAGAGCTGTTAGCCAGTTAGTTGTAGAACGTCAGTACCGTCGGTCAGTGTCGTGCAATGTTATCGCATGAGCTGATTAGTAACTGGTGGTGTTAGTGGACATTATAGTGTAACTTGTAGTTCCTTGGTCCGTTTTCTTTTCTTCCTTTTTGAGGACAACAACAACAACAACAACAACAATAACAACAACAACAACAACAACAACAACAACAACAACAACAACAACAACAACAACAACAACAACAACAACGACGACGACGACGACAACAACAACAACAACAACAACAACAACAACAACAACAACAACAACAACAACAACAACAACAACAACAACAACAACAACAACAACAACAACAACAACAACAACAACAACAGCACCCGCTTATCATACTCATAATATATTGTAGACAGAAGTGTCTGCCTAGCACAGCCATGCACGGTGTAGTGTTTTCTGTCGAACTCTCAGGCGTCGAAGTCACTGTTTTAGGAGGTAGGAGTCGTATCTAGCAAATACGAGCATGTAAGTCCACTAAGGCAGACACCAAGGGCACTCCCCCGGCCGAGGTGTAAAGTTCACCTTATTGTCTTTGGTTACCATGGTTGCAAGTGCTCTTCTTTGCGCTGTCGTCATCACAAAACTACTGTTTAAATTGCATTGGACCATTGGGTCAGTTCCCTTTGTCCTGTGTTCCATGCGACGAGAAGGCAATGAAAGCCTCTCTTTTCTATTTCTTTTTCTCTTTCTCTCTCTATCGCTTCTCTCTGGTCTTTCCCTCCCCTCTCTCTCTCTCTTTCTCTCTCTGTGTCTCTCTCTGTCTGTCTGTCTGTCTGTCTGTCTGTCTGTCTGTCTGTCTCTCTCTCTCTCTCTCTCTTTCTTTCCTTCGTCTCTGTCTCTCTGTCTCTCTCACTCTCTCTCTCTCACACACACATACACGCACGCACACACACACACACACACACACACACACACACACACAAGCACACACACAAGCACACTCACACGCACACATACACATTCTCTCTCTGCGTCTTTCTCTGTCTGTCAGTCTCTGTCAGTATATCTGTTTGTACTAGTATTGTATTTTATTGTATTTCAAGGATTACCCAGAGGTTCTAGGTCTGCTAAGGGGATCTCCTACTATCTTGAACTCAGAGGGTGAAAACATTTGTAACGTGGAAATTGTGGGCACAAGTTATTGCATGGATTGTGGACGTCTGACTGTTCAAAATCTGGTCTAGTTGGTGGACTCGACGCATAACCATGATGCTAGTAACTTGTGCGCACAATTTCCATGTATAGTAGTAGTATAGTATTTATTCATATTTCTCTAGCCTGTCTAGGGCAGTCCCCACAGACCGATGGTCTCCTTACGGGGTACCCTAGCCAATCTAGGATTGCAATACGAAATTGACTTGGTGAAGCAGCAAGGCGGACCGATGCCGGAACTGAGTTCCAGCGGTCAGCGGCTAAAAAAGAAAGAGAGGAATAACCAAATCGAGAGGAGGCTCGTGGCAGTACAAGTCCAAGCGAGACTTGAGACCTTGTGCAGGTGCGGCTACGTGCCTCAGAATTGTCACGGAGGCAGAGAAGTGAACTGGCAGAGAAATGAACGCATCTGAATACAAGAAGATACAAGCAAACAATAGGAGGACAGAGAAAGTGTTTTTACTCCGAGTTTCACGCATTAAAGCGATCATCAGAAAACAGTAATGAGAAATCTGGATCAGTATTGGTTTAGATACTCACAAAGCAAAGTGTAAATAGCTGCAGCATGGCGCAAATCTAAAAGTTGTGAAAAGTTGTGAAGGACACCCGCCTATCGCAGTACGTCTGGGCCAAGAAGGATGAAGGGAAGGCATTCAGCATTCAATGGGCGGTACACCGCAGAGCAGCGGCCTACAGCGACAAAAGCAAAAGGTGCAACCTGTGCCTGGCGGAAAAATTGGCAATCGCGCAAGCACCCAAGCACCTCTCTCTCAACAAAAGGAGTGAGCTTGTGTCAAAGTGTCGCCACGAGAATAGGTACTACCTTCGGAACTTCAAACCATCCACAGCCATCACCTAATTAAGTAAGAGACAACAGGCTCCAGTGGTTGTCACCTTTCACCGCTGCTGTCATTCACGCTTTTACTTTTGGATTTGCCTCATGATGCAGTCATTCACGCTTTGCACTGCCGCCATTCACAACTTTTAGATTTGCGCCATGCTGCAGCTATTTACACTTTGCTTTGTGAGTACATGTATATAAACCAATACTGATCCAGATTTCTCATTACTGTTTTCTGATGATCGCTTAGTGCGTGAAACTCGGAGTAGAAACACTTTCTCTGTCCTCCTATTGTTTGAACCAGCTTTACCTCTCGGTATTGAGCACTCCCTTGGATAGCCTGGAACCTCTCGGTATTGAGCACTCTCTTGGATAGCCTGGAACCTCTCGGTATTGAGCACTCTCTTGGATAGCCTGGAACCTCTCGGTATTGAGCACTCTCTTGGATAGCCTGGAACCTCTCGGTATTGAGCACTCTCTTGGATAGCCTGGAACCTCTCGGTATTGAGCACTCTCTTGGATAGCCTGGAACCTCTCGGTATTGAGCACTCTCTTGGATAGCCTGGAACCTCTCGGTATTGAGCACTCTCTTGGATAGCCTGGAACCTCTCGGTATTGAGCACTCTCTTGGATAGCCTGGAACCTCTCGGTATTGGGCACTCTCTTGGATAGCCTGGAACCTCTCTGTTTTACAAGAACATACATGTACAGTTTATGGGAGAGACGGATAGTGATGGGTGTGAGGTTGTTTCGAGACAGAATGTTACAAATTTTATCTTGTTGTTCCCAGTTTACTAACCTTGCCACCCATAGCCCTGGCACCACATCTTCCCGCCACACATTCAATCACGATCACGCCAGACCGACAAGCATCAGTTTTTCTTGTGTACTGTTACTTCTAGAACCAGTAAATGCACTCAAACACATTGTAATCCGCGTCAAATCAAAGGTGATGGCTTCCCCGCTTCCTATTTCATTCTTAGTATTCCTTACGCTATACATGTATTTAATTGGGTCCCTGTAGCCCTTGGCAGATTCTGCTCCAAAAGCAGTGCAGTCGCCATATTTTCATTACATGCCTGTCTGTTGGCCTGCCTGCCTGCCTCTCTCCCTGTTTTTCTCTGACAACTTGCTTGTTGTGCGTCTTGTCAGGCGTAAAACCCTGTTGTAGAGGTCTCAGCCCTCATTTGTTAGACTTTATAAGACTTAGTGTAACTTTCTCTCTCTCTCTCTCTCTCTCTCTCTCTCTCTCTCTCTCTCTCTCTCTCTAACTCTCTCTCTCTCTCTCTCTCTCTCTCTCCGGCTCTCTCTAACTCTCTCTCTCTCTCTCTCTCTCTCTCTCTCTCTCTCTCTCTCTCTCTCTCTCTCTCTCTCTCTCTCTTTTGGTGCACAAAAACATCTCTGGCGTTGATTGCTTTCTTGCTTTAAAAACTTCTGCCGTGCCTTTGTTCTCGTACTCCCCTCTATGTACTAGTGTTGTGCAAACCCTCCTTCTAGTTTGTCTCATTTTGCCCCGAGATGTTTTGATGCATAGGATCATGACGCTCATCATTCGTTCCCTTGTCACTGGACAGTTCTGTCCGTTTGGTTTTAGCGAATTCAAATAAAGAAAACACACAACACAGTGAAATTGGCAGAACCATACAAACTTTATGGCGGGCAGTTCCTCGAATTCTGTTCCACTTCTTTATC